AAGAAATTGTTAAAAAGAAAGAAAGAGATAGACAGAAAAAAAAATAAAAAAAACTGAGAAAGAAAGAAAGTAAAATTACACAAATATACTGAGAAAGAAAGAAAAAACCCAAAAAAAGAAAGAAAGAAAGAAAGAGATAGACTGAAAAGAAATAAACACACTGAGAAAGAAAAAAGTAAAAAATACACAAACATACTGAGAAAGCAAGAAAGAAAAAAAAAGAAAAAAGAAAGAAAGAAAGAAAGAAAAAAAGAAAGAAAGAAAGAGATTCAAAAAGAAATAAACACACTGAGAAATAAAAGAAAGTAAAAATCACACAAACATACTGAGAAAGAAGAAAGAAAGAAAGAAAAAAAAAGAAAAAAGACTGAAAGAAAGAAATAGACAAAGAAAAATCACAAGAAAGAAAAAAAGACTGAGAAAGAAAGAAAGAAAAATCAAAAAAAAAGAAAAAAAAAGAAAGAGAGATAGAAAAGAAATAAAAACTGAGAAAGAAAGAAAAAAAATTCACAAACATACTGAAAAAAAAGAAAGAAAAAAGAAAGAAAAAGAAAAAAAAAGAAAGAAAGAAAGACTAGACTGAAAAGAAATAAACACACTGAGAAAGAAAAAAGAAAAAATCACACAAAACATACTGAGAAAGAAAAAGAAAGAAAGAAAAAGAAAGAAAAAAAAAGAAAAGAAAGAAAGAGATAGAAAAGAAAAAGAAATAAACATACACTGAGAAAAAAAAAAAAAATCAATACAAACATACTGAGAAAGAAAGAAAGAAAGAAAAAGAAAAAAAGAAAAGAAAGAAAGAAAGAAAGAGAAAGAAAGAAAAGAAATAAAACACACTGAGAAAGAAAGAAAGTAAAAATCACACAAACATACTGAGAAAGCAAGAAAGAAAGAAAAAGAAAAAAAAAAAGAAAGAAAGAAAAAAAGAAAGAAAGAGATAGACTGAAAAGAAATAAAGACACTGAGAAAGAAAGAAAGTAAAAATCACACAAACATACTGAGAAAGCAAGCAAGAAAGAAAGAAAGAAAAAAGAAAGAAAGATAAAAGAAAGAAAGAAAGAGATAGACTGAAAAGAAATAAACACACTGAGAAAAGAAAAGAAAAAGATAAAAATCACACAAACATACTGGAGAAAGAAGAAAGAAAAGAAAAAAGAAAGAAAGAAAAAGAAAAAGAAAGAGATAGACTGAAAAGAAATAAACACACTGAGAAAGAAAGAAATTAAAAATCACACAAACATACTGAGAAAGCAAGAAAGAAAGAAAAAAGAAAGAAAGAAAGAAAAAAGAAAGAAACAGACTGAGAAAGAAAAGAAATTTCACACACTGAGAAAAGAAAGTAAAAAATCACACAAACATACTGAGAAAGATTTTTTTTAAAGAAAGAAAAGAAAAGAAAAAAAAAAAAAGAAAGAAAGAAAGAAAGAGATAGACTGAAAAGAAATAAACACACTGAGAAAGAAAGAAAGTAAAAATCACACAAACATACTGAGAAAGCAAGAAAGAAAGAAAAAAGAAAGAAAGAAAGAAAGAAAGAAAGAAAGAAAGAAAGAGATAGACTGAAAAGAAATAAACACACTGAGAAAGAAAGAAAGTAAAAATCACACAAACATACTGAGAAAGCAAGAAAGAAAGAAAAAAGAAAGAAAGAAAGAAAGAAAGAGATAGACTGAAAAGAAATAAACACACTGAGAAAGAAAGAAAGTAAAAATCACACAAACATACTGAGAAAGCAAGAAAGAAAGAAAAAGAAAAGAAAAAAGAAAACAAAGAAAGAAAGAAAAGAAAGAAAGAAAGAGAAAGACTGAAAGAAATAAAACATACTGAGAAAGAAAGAAAAAAAAAAAATCACAAAACATACTGAGAAAAAAGAAAAGAAAGAAACTGAAAAGAAATAAAAAAGAAAAAAGAAAGAAAGACATATAGAAAAGAAAGAAATAAGAAAACAAAGAAAGAAAGAAAGAAAGAGAAAGAATCAAAAAAGAAATAAACACACTGAGAAAGAAAGAAAGAAAAAAACACAAACAAAGAAAGAAAGAAAGAAAGAAAAAGAAAAAAGAAAAAAAAGAAAGAAAAGAGATAGACTGAAAAGAAATAAACACACTGAGAAAGAAAGAAAGTAAAAATCACACAAACATACTGAGAAAGCAAGAAAGAAAGAAAAAAGAAAGAAAGAAAGAAAGAAAGAAAGAGATAGACTGAAAAGAAATAAACACACTGAGAAAGAAAGAAAGTAAAAATCACACAAACATACTGAGAAAGCAAGAAAGAAAGAAAAAAGAAAGAAAGAAAAGAAAGAAAGAAAGAAAGAAAGAGATAGACTGAAAAGAAATAAACACACTGAGAAAGAAAGAAAGTAAAAATCACACAAACATACTGAGAAAGCAAGAAAGAAAGAAAAAAGAAAGAAAGAATGAAAGAAAGAAAGTAAAAAGAAAGAAAGATAACAGAAAGAAAGAAAGAAAGAAGAATGATCGATAAACGAAAGATTTTTTTTCAAATTAGAAGTAATCGGATGCGTTCATTAAATATAAAAAAAATAAGATTTTAAATTAAAATTTAAGAAAAAACAAATAAACCCACATCGAAGGACAAAGGTTTCTGCTCGCCATTTTTTTTAACAAAAAGCGTAATTAGGATCTTATTAATTTTTAATTGGATCAGTTTAATTTGTCGAATGCCCGTCTTTCTATCTCTTTTATTTTTCTTGATTCTGTTTCGTGTTGCCCTTATTAATTTTCATCTTTTTAACATTTAATCAGATGGGATTTTCTTCGGCAAACTTTCATATTTTGAAATTATTCAAATTGGATGCACTTCGAAAAGGCATTTTCACTCCACCAGTTCGACTGTACTTTTGTGATGTTATCCTTGTGAGGTCTGCTGTGTGATTAAAATATCGAACCGCCTTGTCGATGAGGCTATGATTAAAGAAACAAAAAAAAAATTGTATATAAAGCCACATCTGAATCTGGTGGATTGAAGTGTTGGCTCGTGAATTTGGGGATACAGTAATTGTGAGTTCGAATCCAGGGCCGGGTTATAAAGAATTATACTCAAAGGAAACAGATTGGAGAATAACAATGGAAATTGGCACTATTTCTAAAAGAAGTTATCTATGTTCTAATTGTATCTGTCGATCTATCACAGTATATTCAAATATCTGTCACTCCGTCTGTTTATCTATCTATCTATCTATCTATCTATCTATCTATCTATCCAAGTCTCTTCATATCTGTCTACATATCAATCTCAATTTGTTCTTATCTATTTGTTCTATTCATTATCAAAGTTTCTTCATATCTATTTATATCAGCCAGTTCCTATCTATCTATCTATCTATCTATCTATCTATCTATATCAGCCTGTTCTAATTTATCTACCTCCGTCTATTCATTTTCTATCTATCTATCTATCTATCTATCTATCTATCTATATCACCCTGTTCTAATTTATCTACCTCCGTCTATTCATTTTCTATCTATTCATCTATCTATATCTATCTATTCATCTATCTATATCAGCCTGTTCTAATTTATTTCCGTCTATTCATTTTCTATTCATTCATTCATTCATTCATTCATTCATTCATTCATCTATCTCAATCTGTTCATTATCTATCGATCTATCTATCTATCTATCTCATCTTTGTGAAAATATACAAGTAGCTAAAACCATTGCAGTGAGCAAGCAGCGACGTAATGGATAACAAGTTCGACTGTCTGACCAGTTCGCGAGTGACATGATTTCGTTTCTCGTTGAAGGTATTGTATTGAACTTAGGGGATGCAATGCATTGCAAATACTTTTACGATACATATGCATTAAATCTATCAAGTGACAGATTATCAGTGGTCAGGAATGAATGCAAGTATTACTGGTAAAATAGGGCTCTTATATGTAGAATGTAAATGTATTGCTAATGATTTTACTAGAGGAATGGATAGAAAATCAGGAAGAAAGGGATTGTCAGTGGTCAGGAATGAATGCAAGCATTCCTGATAGAATAGGGCTATTATATGTATAATGGAAAATGCATTAATATAATGATTTTACTAGAAAAATGGATAGAAAATCAAATAAAAAGGATTGTCAGGAAAATCTGATAGAATAGGGCTATTATATGTATAATGGAAATGCATTACTAATGATTTTACTAGAGGAATGGATAGAAAATCAGGAAGAAAGGGATTGTCAGTGGTCAGGAATGAATGTAAGCGGTACTGATAGAATAGGGCTATTATATATATAATGGAAATGCATTGATAATGATTTTACTATAGGAATGCATTGTCAATCAGAGATTGTCAGCGGTCGGATAAAATAGAATACATCTGTATATATATATATATATATATATATATATATATATATATATATATATATTCAGATCCATTACATTTACTTACGTGCTAATCCCCCCAGCTATGGGTAAATAGCACGACAGACCGGGTTCTATAGCCATGGATGGCAACTGGTTTACCGTGGAAAGAATTGGCTACCTACTGCGAGAAAAAATCTGCCTCATCAGTACTTGTATCACGCATGGCATATAAGTGATAGGCATACATTTAAAATCCGTAAGCAAGGTATTGTCATTGGTCAGGAACGACAATAGTCGTTTAGTAACTGAATGCTGTTATTATAGTTATAATAAAAACTCTTTAAATTTTTTTGATAAATTTTAATTTATTATCGATGAACATTGATCTCCATCGGCGCCATTTTTATCAAGTTGGGCATATCTGAATTTGATACCAATCAAATAACAAATTATAACAGGTGGCCTCTTCTGGTACAATTCTCACTCGTTTTGTGTTTTCGGTACTTTTAAATTTATTTTTTACTTTCTTTCCTTTTTAAATACTCGAGTTAATGTCGTACAAAGATCCTGACCATCACAACGAGGACTGAATTTCAAAACCACTTCTTTTCTAATTCTCTTCCTTGGCACTTGAAAACCAGTTTAAATGATTTCTCTTTAAGAGTTAAAGCGAGAAC